GGAGCTGGGAGGAAGGAAGTTGCCAGACTCCCCCCCCCCCCCCCCCCCCGCAGCAAACTGTCCCATATAAGGATCAAACCCGTAGCTCTTCATTCATTTACCCCAAGGTCAGCTGAACCCCAATGTGTCAGAGGAGGGAGGCTGCAAATGCACTGGACCTGTTTACCGCAGTTACCCCAAGGGAAGGAGGGGGGAGATGGTGGAACCGCTCCTTCCTCCCATTTATGGATGTAAGATTTACCCTGTACTTTGCAGCAGCTCATTTGTAACCTGGTCATTTTAGAGTCAGTCCAGTTTCTTTCCCCCTCACACACGTCCCTCTATCCCCAGCATGACAGGTCCTCCCTATCCTTCCTCACTATCTTCACCCAAGTCGGCCTGCTCTGAATGGACACGGTCAGTGATCCCAGCAGAAACTGAAAAGTAACAATCGGACAGTGTCCAGAGACTCGGGCAGAGATGCCTCGGAGCGCCCAGCCTCCTCCTCTGCCTTGGCACAGATGCTTTTATTGTCCTGAAAAAAAATATGAAATTCCCTCCCCAAGTGTGGAGGGGGGATACTCTGGGCTAAGCCACGAGGGCGGACTTGCTGGCGGGCCCAGCCTCTTTGCCTCCTAATTGTTCCGAATAGGACCAGCGCTATCCGCCTTCTCTGTTGCAGCCAGGACACACCCCACAGGCCATTTGTCCCCCTCACCTAGGAGATAGCGAGGAGTGGGGCTGGAGCTGCAAGAGGAGATTACTAAATGATTCCGAAGTTCTCTTTAGGGGCCGTTAGCACATCAAAATACATATTTGGAAAATGCTCACAATTAACTCTGGGAGAAAAACAGTAAACACAGTGTCACTTTGCCAGCCTCAACAGTTTTGTTTTGTTTTGTTTAAATGCTAATGGCCTCAAATGGGGAGCAGCATCCATCAGTTAAATAAACAAGCCATTAGACTGAGACTGGAAGTGTCAACACATGACTAATCTACTAATTGGGAGAAGGCATGCCTAGTGAAGAGCAAGGCACAAAGCCTGCTGAGACAGTGGAAGCACATAGTATGTAAGTTTGGGAGTCAGTAAGATCTGAGTTTGAATCCAGCCTCCACACCAGCTGTGTGGCCTTCAGTGAGTTATCTTGAGTTCTTTGTTTCTCTAAGCCTGGTTCCCATTCTGGGGAGCTATGAGGATGAACTTGATACTGAGCTACTGTGTTTGAAGCCTATTAGCTAATGCTGATAATAATAAAGTACCTATCACGTCAGAAAACGTCAGCAATGACGGTGGAAAAAGGAATGACTGTGGTTGCCAAATATTGGCCATAAAGGGAGAACTTGGACCTTTGATATCCCCAGACCCTCCCAAATACAGCTAGCCAAGGAGTGCTTTTGGTTGGCTAATAAAGGCCATCACTTTAATGGAGGATTTCTCCAGGTCTTAAGGGTCACTGTCCTGTCCCATGGTTGCTGACTTCTGGGGCCTTCTCTCCTGGCACCTGCCTAAGAAGCATAAGTTAAGCTGGTGCTCCAAGGTGCAGAGCAACCTGACACTGTCTTTACCCAGATCCATCCATGTTCCAGAAAGTACTCTGGGCTGTTCTTGGTTGTCTCCTTCATGTTGTAGAGACAGATGGGGATCACAGTACAGAAGAGGGCCAAACTGAGGAAGAAGACCATCAGGGAGGGGCACCCAGGACCCCCAGGAGAAATAACTGGGACCTAGAGAAAGTTGTTGGTCTTTGCTCCCTTGCCCCACCCTGTCCTTTTGAAGTCTGAGGTCCTCCCTAACAGCTGCCAAGATCTATCCCCAGCCAAATGGAGTCTCCCTCTTCACTCACCAGCCCTGTTCTCCAGTGACCCTCCCTTTTGTCCCTTCCTATCCTGAGGGAGACCTGCTCTCCTTCTGAAAGGTGGTAAATACTGGATTAGAATCTCCTCTGTACAGGCAAGGAGTTAATTCATAGTGGCTTAAAACACCACCCATCTTTACTTTGAAAACTACTCCTTAGAAAAGAAGGAAAACTAACAGGGGTGGGGGGAGCTGTCCTCTGGGTTACCCACAGGACAGGCTGAGGTGGCATGGACAGGAAAAACCTTTTACCCTCCATTGCTCATCATGCTTCTTCTAAGTTCGGCCCTGAGTTCAGGACCCTGAGCAGATCCACCTGATCCTCACTCAGCACCCTCATCTCCAGTCTACACCTGGAGTGCTACACTTCAACAAACACCCCAGTGACCAGGTCAGTCAAGCTCCGCAGGCCTTTGTCCACATCTCCCAGCTGCCCTGCATTGGCCCCTCTTGGCCCTGCACTTCACTTGCAAAGAACAACTTAACCTGAGCAGGTAAGCCCCCTCCACAACTGTTTATCTGGTGCTAAGGGGTTAATGCATTTTTCCTCCTGTCACACCCAACTGGACTGCAATTCTCCAAGGCACACCAAGTCACATTCTGTTCCAGAGTCTGTGCTGCTGGCAACTGTTTCTGAGCCTGGACCACGGCTGCCCCCCACCTGGTCCAAACCAAATTCTTTTCATCCAAGGCCCAGCTTCCTTCCCCCTCCCCCAGGGACCCGCCCTCCTTGCAGCCCAGGTGAAGTCATCTTCCCCTCACTCCTGTCTGACTGCACAGCACTCTGGCCCGCTTTGAGGGCCTCCTGGCTCATTCTGCCTGGCACAAAAATTAGTTGCTTATTGGCTTCTCTTCTGTGGGATTATAACTTTTTGTGGAAAAGAAGTGCTTCCGCTTCCCTGTACAGTTACTGTGGGTGTCAAAGCTACACAGACAAGTGCATGGGGCTATGAACCCCCCCTACCACCTAGCTTCCACAAAGTTCAAGATTTTGCTTCTGTTTCATGTTGGTAGCCCCCTCCTGAACAGACAGTGCCTGGCACAGCCTTGCACAGCACTTTCCTCCAAGGAGCTGGGACTTGGTGGGAACTGGTGCAAAATCAGGTTTCCAGGCAGTCGTGGGGGAGGGGTAACATGGGAGGGGACAAGGGATACCAAGTTACCATCAGAGTTGTCTGCACAGGAGTGTCCCGGAGTACCTGTTAGGAGCCAGGTACTTTACAATTCATCTGATGGGCCCCTCTACACAGCCTAATGGGGTAGGTATGCTGATGCCCATTTCTCAGAGGCAAAGAAGGATTCCCCAGATGGGCAATGGCTGGGCAGGTATTTGAATCCAAGTCCTGTGCCCTTTCTGCCATGCAGCCTGCCTCACATGGGTGCCAAACAGGTTGCCACCTGCTTGCCTTCAGCTTGACAGAATACAAGCCATGCTTTGTGTGTGCTTGCCGGGTCGCACGCATGCAAGCACGCCACCCACGCAGAGACCCACATGTTCACAGTATGACTGTCAAATAATTACACTGACTTTTGTCTGTGGAATCAGTCTCCTCATCTTCAAGGTCACCCTTTAGTCCTGCAAGCATGGAGGGGAATTTTGGGGTGAAGAGCTAAGCCTGAGCCAAGTGTGTAGTAGGCCAGGCTCAGGAGTTAAGGGAACAGAGGAGGCCATCACACACCTGTCTCTGAGGCCAAGCTGTTTCCAAAAAGAAACAAAGTCTATCCCCCCACCAGTACAGTACATTCTCTTCAGAACTCTAGCATGTCCTTACACCCTCTTCGTCAGTGGTCTGCCTCCCCCAATACACACTGCTCTCTTTAGCCTTTGTTCTTTTTGCACACCACCCCTGACCCCATAGGATTCGCCATGTTCCTCCAGCCTGTGATATTCACCCATCCTTCTATACCTAAAATCCACCTAGTCCAGGTTCAAGACTTCTCCTCCCTGATTCTGACCACTCTCAACATTTCACCTAGTTTGGTTTCCCTTTTTGACCTCAACCTTGGTGCTCTGTTCTCTTGCCTTATTCTCTAGGTGTTTCATATAAGCTGTTTCCTTGACCACACTGTAAGGCCCTTCAATTCAATGTTGGGCAACAAGCATCCAAAAGAGGTATTGGATGACAATGTACCACAGACTCAAAGATGGGGCCAGCTCATGCCACCAAAGGAGTTCTTTCCACCTGGCCAAATGATGCATAAGGGAGGTCCCCTGAATCTTTGGGCAGTGTTAGGATAGATCTCCCCTACAAGATTGGGGAGGCTAGAGAGACAAGCACTTAGCCCCCAAATACACATACCACCCCTGGAAATTTTATCTCCGTGGGTGGGGTGGAGAGGCAGAGTCTCAGTCCTTGAAAAAGGCCTAAGGCAAATGCCTAGCTTTCCAGTGCCTGTCAGGAAACGCATGAGTGTTATGTGTGCCTCCCTTCACGCTGAGCCTGCAAGTAAAATACTTCAAGGATGTAGTATGGGATTCTGCCTTTTGCATTCTCTCCTACTCCCCCAAAGGAAGGGGGATCGGGTAGGCTATTGCTGCTCCATTGTACAGATGAGGGAAACCAAGGCTCTGAGAAAGACACACTGGTCTAATTTTCTGGCAGGAAGACAAATTTCACTTTGGGGGGGCCTACTTCTTTCTTTTTTTTTTTAAGATGTATTTATTTATGCATACAGAATTGGGGTACTGGCCAGAAGAGCAGGGGCAATGCGAGGTTTCACCAGAGACAGAGTGGGGAGCAGAACAGGCAGATTGACAAAGTACACTGCTGAGGGGAGCAGCGGGCTGGTCAGGAGAGGTTTGCAGCGCCATGTGGGTCACCTCCCTGACTGGGCAAGGAACACCTGCTGAAGTGGCTGCGGCTAGCTTCACAGTGCTGTGCTTTAACCTGTTGTGCGGCCAGGGACAGGGGACCTACTTTCTTTAGAAGAGTCCCAGTCACCTTGGCATGGAGGGTTCCAAGCACTGAGAAGTTCTGACAGAGCTTCCTGGAACGGAGAGGGAAAGGGGATGGTTCATTTGTTTTTAGCACTCCAATTCCAGAATCGGGCTCTGGGGTTGCAGCTTCTCCCTCCCCCCACTCCCCATCTTTTCTGGTGGCCAGCAAGTCTCCACACTCCCCGCCCTCGGCCCCGCCCCTGTTCCCAAAGGCCTTTCAAGGACCGCCCAGTGTTGGGCCACTCCCTTCCCTCAACTCACTAGGGACCCAGGCAAAGGCCTCTGGTCCGGCCCTTCCCATCCAGCAGCCTGGACAGACTGGTAAGAGGTGTGCTCTTTCGAAGAAGCCAGACTGTTGCCAAGTTAGGACGCTGGCCCTGAGCATCCTCCAGTGGAGCTATGGACTTAACCCCTTGTCCTTCCAGTTAAAAAGTGCCTGCCTCCCTGCCGCCTGCCTGCCTGCCTGCCTGCCTGCCTGCCTGCCTGCCTGCCTGCCTGCCTGCCTATAAGAAAATGCCAAGCAAGCCCTGTGCCCCGAAGGGAGAAGGTTGTATTGATTCATTCCTATTCTGCCCTTAATCCCCTTTGGACCACACAAATTTGTAGGAAGGTGGGTGGGCAGGATGGAATCAGTGCTCCTTGTACAACACTTCTGAGAATTCTGACTCTGGCCAGGGTTGGGGAGAGTGATTTGTATGTGGGCCTGAGGGGTCCATTGCAGTCCAGATGAAGAGATTCAGGTTAGATCTGGGGCCAGGGTTAAGGGTCAGGGAAGTTATCTCATCCCTGAGGCATCCTGTTGGAGAATGCCTTCATTAACAACTTGGCTCACCTGGGACCCTCTTTCTCACACTGGCTGAGAGGTCCTTCAAGTTGGCCTCAGGAACTTACCTTCTAGCCCTGGCTCTGACACTTGTTTTCTGAAGAGCCTTAAGCAAGTCACTACCCCTCTTTGACCCTCAGTTTTCTCACCTAAACAATGAGGGAGTCAGTCTTAATCTATAAGGTTTCATCCAGTCCTGAGAATAAACAACTTTGGGTCTGTAGGAATATTTTTTAAAAGCGGTCCTATTGATCTCATGGGGTTAAAAATAAGACAATATAAGGAAACAGAATCTAGAAAAATGTATAAAGTACCAAACAGAAATGAAATTATTATTTTTTCCTCCATTAAAAAAAGATTATAAAAGTATCATATGCTCATTGTAGACATTTTCAAAATACAGGAAATGAAAGGAAGCGAAAAAATCATAAAAATCACTTGTGATTCTACTGCATAGCTTACCATCATTAACATTCCAGTCTTGTATTTATATTTATTATATATTTTTAATAAAAACAGAATCATACTGTATGTAACTGTATTGTAACGTGCATTTTTCATATAAAATGTATATTGCATTTTCCAATGTCATTAAATATGCTTTGAAAAAATGATTTTTAAAGATGCCATAGTATTTCATTCTGTGACTGTGCCATAATTTATTCACCCAATCTTTTGTTGAGTATTTAAATTTTTACCATTTCCCATTATTATAAATATAATTTCTTATCTGCATCAAAAGGTATGAATACTAACACCTTTTGCCAGAAATTTTCAACCATATGAAAATATAAACTCATAAAACAGATCCCCCCACACGCCCACCTCCTAGTTTCAATGATTATCAACCGAAGGTCAATCTTGTTTCACCTACATTTTCAACTATTTCTCCCTGCCAGTGGATTATTTTAGAAGCAAATCCCAGGTAGCAGGTAATTCTGGTATGTATATTTTTAATATTTTGACACACAGTACCAAATTGACTTATTAAAAGACCTTACCAATTTACAAAGCAGCTTTATTCACAATAGCCCAGTCCCCACTAATTGGAAACAACCCAGATGGCTATCACTGGGTAAATACAATTCTTAAAAAGAAAAAAAGGTATATTTATTCCAATAGACTATCCCTCAATATTGCAAAGGAACAAGTTACTGATATAAGGAACACACACGGATGAGGCTCAAAAACATTATGCTTAGCGACATAAATAAGACCAACATGTGATGTATATAATCACATTGCATAAAATTCTAGAAAATGCAAACAAGACTGTAGGGACACAAAGCAGATCAATAGTAACTTGGGGTCAGAGGTGGAGAAAGAGATGGACTATACAAAACAGAGGTGAACTATCAAGGTTCATGGGCTAGGTTTGGGGATGATGGATTTTTTTCAGTATCTTGATTGTGGCAGTGGTTTCATGGGTAGATGTATGTCAAAACTCATTGAATTGTACAATTCAAATGGTCACAGCAAATTATAGCTAAATTATCCCTCAATAAAGCTGATTTTTAAAACCTGCTTCCCTAAACTCTTGCTGACATTTGAATATTATTAAAATAAATATGATTAAAAGAAATTAAAATATGTATATATTTGCCAACTTAATGAGTAAAAACTTAGAGGTGGGCATCTAGTATTTTGATTTGCAGTTTTATAATAATATTAAATATTTCCCAAGGTCTCCTTGGTGGCGCAAGGGGTTAGGGCTCACCACTATGAAGCTATCTGCAGCCATTGCAGCATGAGTTTGATCCCTGAGAGGGAGGTGACCCATATGACACAGCTCTCTCCTGTCTCTCTCACTGCTCCCCTTAGCAGTGTATTTCAATAGATCTTCCAGCTCTGCTCCCCACTCTGTCTCTGCTGAATCCTCTCATCCCCTGCACCTCTGGCCTATACCCCAGTTCTTGTATGCATAGATAAATAAAACTCAACTTTTTTTTAAGAAAGTGACATACAGAAATGTGTACAAAATGTTGACTAGTAGGAAATGAAGATAGGAACAAATATATATATAAAATATTTTCCTAATTTACTAGCCTATACTATTTTGTTTGCAGTAACAGTTTATAACATTGTTTGATTTGGAGGTATAGGTCCACACCTCTTCAGATATAAATTCCACACTATACCCATCACAAAAGGAGCCATCTTCCTTTAGACCCCCTGTCCTCGCCCTCTTTATTCTTCATGCCCAACCTCTTGCTCTGGTAGGCCATTAGTATTTCTTGTTTTGTCAATTGCCAGTTATGTCCTTTACTTAATTTTCTAAGGAGATGTTTGTCTTTTTCTTGTGGATTGGTAAGATTTCTTTGTGTATCAAAATTATGGAAATTGTGTCATATATTGTGAATATTCCTTGCTTTCTGATCTTGCTTGTGGTGTCATTTTCAAAATATGTAGGGCCTCCTTAGTGGTGCAGGGGTTAAAGTCTCAGCACTATCAAGCTATCACCAGCCTACTGAGTCCTACTCCCCCCAAACCCCCCCAATACCCTCTCAGGGAGCTAGCCCTCCTCCTAGCAGACCTCTCCTGACCCACCTGCTGCTCCCCTCAGCAATGTATTTCCATAGGTCTGTCTGTTCTGCTCCCCACTCTGTCTCTGGTGAATCCTCCACCCCCTGCACCTCTGGCCTACACCCCAGTTCTTGTGCATAAATAAATACATAGAATTAAATCTCTTAAAACATGTAGATTTTCTTTATTTTTTAAGATTCATTTATTTATGCATACAGAACTGGGGTACAGGCCAGAAGCACAGGGGCAGTGAGAGGATTCACAAGAGACAGAGTGGGGGGGCAGAATAGACCTACTGATGAAATACACTGCTGAGGGGAGCAGCAGGCAGGTCAGGAGAGGTCTGCCGCGCCATGTGGGTCACCTCTGGGGTGGGAATCGAACTCACGCTGAAGTGATTTTAGCTTCTTAGTGCTGTGCTTTAACCCGTTGTGCCACCAGGGAGGGCCCCAACATGTAGATTTTCTACTTCTGCATAGCCAAGTCCACATTTTGTGTCCTCCTTTGTTTCTTTGTTTACCTTTATGCCCTAGAAAGACTCTTCCTACTGTCAGGAGCAGAGGACTAGTCACCTGTTTTCTTCTAGGTTTTTACTGCTTATATAATTTATGTGTTGTCTATGGTTTTATTGTTTGCTGTCATCTTTAAATTTTGCTTTTAATTTTATCTGAAATTTCTGTATATTTTTATTGAAGTAATATTGCATTATCATACTATATAAATTTCAGTTATTCATCAATGAGAATCAATATGTATATAAACTAATTAAGTTCACTGCTAAAAGTCCAGATTATATCTTTCACCATATCATTGTCCCCGTCTTCCCAATTTACTACACACACACACACACACACACACACACACACACACCTTGTTTGCTGTTCTTGACCTCTCGACGCATGGTGAAGAAGTGCAAACATTGACTCTGGAGCCAGATGGAGCTTGGACCAAATCTCGGTTCTACCCTTACTAGTCATGTGACCTGGGCATCTTCAGCTTCCTCCTCTGTAAAGATAATAATAAGGTCCACCTTGCAGGGTTGTTTTCAGGATTAAATGAAATAATATATGTAAAGCCGTTGGCCCAACACCTAGCCATAGCTACTGTTCAAGAAACATCAGTGACTATAATTGCACAATTTTGGTTTGGATTGCTCAGTCTCCAAACATAGTGATCATTTAAAGCAAAGTAGAAGAAAATATTCCCTCTCCCTGTCCACTGGCAGCTAAGTATCTGGGATGTGACCCCAAGGTCTGCCAGTCAGATGCTGTCTCCCTCTGGACTTTGGAATCTGTGCAGTTTACAGCACTGCAGGAGACAGCAGCCTTTTGCTGGAGGTCTCAGCAGCCAGGTGCCCAAAAAAGCCATGGCAAGTCTCTGGAAAGGACCTGTGACATGATCCTGGCTGTGCCTGCTTCCCTTCGTTCCTACCCCTTTCCTGAAACTGGTTCTTTCTGTTTCCATAGTGAAATTCCCCAACAGACAGCCTTCCAACAACCCCCTTTTCTGCTTCAGTTAGTTAGAATCAGAGTCTGTGGTTTGCAACCAAGACCAGAATGGTCTTGCAACCAAGACCAGAATGTTATTTAACTCTGAAATTCACTTTTGCAGATAGCAAACTTTCCCCACCCCCAATAATCAGATGTCCCCATACCATGCATTAAAGAGAATGGGTATTCTCTTCCCACTTACTTAAAACAGATACTTTTCATTCAAGCTCTTACCCTTGGGCTATCCCTTTCACTAGAATCCCATGCCACTCCTAGAACCCCAGAGGGTCTTTTATTCTCTTCTCCCAAGAAAGTTTCATGTTCTAGAGTCCTAGACCACCTACTTGATATTGACTCTCTGATATGTCCTTGCCTTGAAGCTGGAGGGCAGGACAGTGTCCCCAAATCTCTTTGTTGGCTTTAGCTCCTTTCCCCCCTCCCCCCCACAGCAAGAGATCTATTTGCAATTCCAGTCCCAATCTAGAGAAACTCAAAGGACCTACAGGGGTTTACCAAATGAAGAAATGAACCAAGACAAGTACCCACTCACAGCCCTCTGCCTTCACTGACTCCCTGTTCTCACCAGTGGCAACATTCAGAAAGCGGGGGGGGGGGGGGGACCGCCTGGACACTCCACCACACCAGTGCTTGGGTCTCACTAGGCGCACGGGGGGGCTATTAACCTTCTTCCAGACACAGAAGTTTAATCTGAGCCTCCCAAGGTTTGCCATGGCGACACTGCTCACCTCCACACCTACTATCTTGGTGACATCAAAGCGAGTTTGTCAAGCAGTGGAGGTCATTGTTGACAGACTGGCAAGGTGAAAGCAGGACTGGTATCCAGAGTCGTTAAGTAACCCACAGTTGAGGCTTATGGGTCCTAAGGTGTAGGCAGAGGCATGGATGGCTAGGTGAAGAATAAGAGGGTCCTTGGAGGCAGGGGTTTGTCGAGTTATAACATGGTACCACAGGGCTCAGAATGTCTTGGTTGCCAACGGGTGTACAGAAGGGCAGATGCTTGTGGAGATGCCTGAGAAAGGACCATTCTGACAGATGTCTCAGGACATAACTAGATCTGCATGCCGGGCATGGGAACAAATGTTCCAGAATTATCTTCAACAAATACCTGGTATGGGTGAGGTCATGGGGTCGTCATGTGTACAGGATAAAGGAGACACTGGTATAAGAATTTGTATTTTTAAAATTTATTTTCCAGCTTTGTTAAGATATAGTTAACACATAACCTTGAGAGTTTCTGTGAAAGCAAAAAGAATTTATAGTATTTAGCGGCCACTAAATTATGTTTACAAGAGTTTTTTTTTTCAACAACGCAAAGAAACTCCTGTTATAATTTGAAGTAAAAATTTTAAACGCAAGCTGTAGAACTGCATATTGAGTTGAATCACAAACTCTATGGGAAAAATATGTATTTTTTTAAAGACTGGCAGGAAATGTAACAATGGCATTTCATTGTCTTCGGATGTTAATTATGAAATAATACTCAATATCTGTAAAATAGCAAGGACATATTAAGTTACAAGTTCTTTGTTTGGCTTTTTACTTTTATAGATTACCACATATCTTTGCATAACAATCCTGTAAGGGAATGGCTCCCACTTCACAGGTGTGAAACTAGAGGCTCCTGAGGCTAACTAGCTAAAATCAACACAGCTCAGAAGTCGCATAATTAGAAATGATTCTGGAAAGAGCATGTTTTTGTTTTTCTTCATTTTCCCAAATTTTGATAATGAACATACATTTTCTAACCTTTCACAACTTTCTACCCTTTCTTAATCTGCTCGCTCCTTCTTGGATTAGAAACAAAGAAAAGTATTCTTGCTCCTTAAAACGTGTGATCTATTTCCTAACAGAACAAGAGCTCCTGGTAGGGAGGGACTCAGTGCCTGTTCCTGAGCATAGAGAGCACACGATGATGCTGAAATGCTGAATAGTCGTTCGCGGAATAAAGGAGCTCAACGTAGGAATAAGTGAGTAACAGTCATGAAAAAGTTCATTGTGATGAAGTGAATGCCTGGTTTCTGTAAGGAGTGAAAGCCTGTTCACCAGCATGGTCAGAGGGAGCCAGTGGGTCTATAGCCTTCCGATGAAATTTGGGCCTCCTTGCCTTGAGCCCAGCCAGCTGTTTCTCAAAGTGGCATCCCTAACCTTGCGGACTCCATTTTCTGGGCCCCCTGCCACCCAAGCTTGGCGCTTCTAGGTGTCTTCCCCCACTGAAAAACCCAAGTGCTTGTCAGGCCCCATCTCCTAGCTGGCTTCAGGGGGAGGGGCTTAAGGTGGAAATGCTGGAATCTCAGAGCGCCCAGCTGGTAAGAGGGAATTGACTGTATTTTGCAAGCTAAAAAGGCTAAGAGATTAAGGAACAGGCATGATTAATATGCTAATGGAAAAGGCCAGGATGGTTATAGGACACCTGACATACTCATAGGGACCTGAATCCTAAATTTGGAATCCCTGCCCAGTGACTTCAATGATGAGGCCACAAGTGCAATGGGGGGGGGGGCGGTACAGGGTCTGGGCAAACTTGCGTCCCTGGTCCATATCCACTGGGTGGGTGGGTGGCCGCCTCCTATCCCGGCAGGGTAGGGTAGGGGAAGAGGGGAGGACAGGATACTGACTTCATTTCCTCCTGATCTGTGCTTCCCCAATGGCAAAAGCAAGCTAAGGAAAGTTTTCATTGAACTTACCGGTAGCACTTTGGAAAATTATAGCCAATACCCAGTAATTGGCACCAATAAGGGGCCATTAGTAGGGTCCACGATTAGCTTAAGAAAAATAGCAACATTTGCAAACCAATCTGTTTTAAAACAACAGATTCCCCTTTATATTTATGAACCTTTGTAGGTTCTTAGAAGGAGCTGGCCTGTGCTCCAGCCCTTCTGCTCAGTATGATCCCTATACCTGCACCTAAATCCCCCAGAACCAGAACTCTCCTCAAACCCTCACGTCCCAGTTCAAACCCCACTTCCTTCAAGAGGCCTTGAAGTTCCTCAGTCAATTCTTCTTCCTCCCGACTGCCTCTAGCACTGGGTGGAGTCCCAACACAGTCAGCTGTCTGTCTGTCTTTCTGTATTACTGACCACCTCTCCCTCCAGAGTACTCATGCTACAGTGGAAATGGAGGCCATCACAGTCTGCAGCTGCGTGGTCCATCACAGCAGCGCCCCCCGCCCACCTGGCACAGTGGACTTATTTGCTATTGTCCGATGGAATAGTCTGTCCAGGGCCCCGATTGCTAGTGGACTTGGGGGCGTGGGGGTAGCTCTAAGACCTGAGAAATTCCAGATTCCCAGGAAGCCCCATGTGGATAACAAGCAGTTGTCTGCATTTTACAAGTTATAAGGCCCAATTACAGTTGATTTTGTCTTTGCAAGAGTGGGAAGCTTTAACCCAGGTGCCTGGCAGAGTGTGCGATCTGGGAATAAAGGGGCGGGAGGACGGGAGCACCCCAAGAGGTTGAGACTGTGAGGATGGGTGTGGGTAGAAGGAAGGGGAAGGGGGAGGGCCGCTCCCCCTGCCCTCCCTCCCTCCCTCTCTGGGTCCGCGCCGGTCTCTTGCTTTTGGGCTCTTTGTCTGTTGTCTGTTGGTCGCTCTGTCTGTCGGTCTCTTCCTCTCCCGGTTGGTTTCTCTATGTTGGTCTCTCTCTCTCTCTGTCGGTCTCTCTCTTTCTGTCGGTCTCTCTCTCGCTGTCGGTCTCTTCTCGCTGTCGGTCTCTCGCTGTCGGTCTCTCGCTGTCGGTCTCTCTCTCTCTCTCTCTCTCTCTCTCTCTCTC